TTCCTACTTTACCTGGGTGGCTAGGAGTTCTTACACTCCAAGTCACCCAGGTGAAGTAGGGAGGTGGCAATGTCACTAATTTGGGGGATGGACAATAGCATGTGCACACTCTGCATTGTATAATTATATAGAGCCCTCACTTACCGCTCCTTACTCCCCCCCCAAAATATAATAATTAGGGGCCCCACCTGCTGCCAATGCATAGGGGACATGGGGCGAATATCAGGTCTTTCCTCAGAATATTATAATTAGGGCACCCTATTGCCAATGGGCGGGGGTCAGGGGGAACAGTAGATTTCCACTCTTATATTATAATAGCCCCCATACTCTGCAGGTGGGGCAGTGGGGGGACTTTAGGATGTTCCCATTTTTCTTTAATTAAATAGGCCCCATCTGCTGGCCTGTTATTTATTTTAAAGTCTCCCACCCAAGGCTTATGTTACCAGTGGGCAAATAGTTCAGATTTTTTAAAATCCGGGTCAGCCATCCAACAGTATTCAGTTCTGCTGAAATCTGTATCAATTTGTTGTCTCAATGGTCCCATATGCAGCCCGATTCAGACTTTAGTGAATAGCCCTCTATGTGATTAAAATTAAATAGCAACCTGCTGAAAATTGTGCACTTACTACCTAAACTATAATCAATATCTGCAAATTGATAAATATAACACATTTTTAAAGCAGTCTGTAAAAAGCAAGTATAAAAGTCTTTATACTTGTCCATTAGTGTCTAATCCATGGGTAGGCAAACTACTTCTCCCATAATGCACTTACAGCCAAAATGCTGGAAATGAATCAAGGGACATGTAGTCTACAACATCTGGACTGCTGAAGGTTGCATTGCCCTGGTCTAACTTACAGTGATTGTGAGTCCACTTTTTGCTCTCAATTAGATGTAATAGACAATTAAGCAAGAAATTAAAAAAAACACAGTTCTCACGGCATCACATTTATTAAGACACACAATATAAAATACATTCATATAGTGAAGATAGATGTTTCAGGAGTCAATACTCATTTAGCCCGAAGAGTTGACGTCCTTTCTGATATCCTTCTTGGGAGATGGACGAAAGGTGCTCCAGTTTGCCAGCCTCTGGAAGGAGTTTTCTATATCTCACTTTAATGGTTGATGAGCACCAGCCTGGACTAGTTTTTGGTGTGTATTCCATCTCTTAGCCTACTATATTGCTAGTGAATTGCATCTATAGCTTCTCGATAATCGACTGCCTGTTTCATGGAGAATTGCTTCACCTCCTGTAGGTCAAGCTTGTCTTGCTACAATACTTATATGTCTCATCCATGCCTTGCACAGTACTGTGAAATAATAATATATAATAATATTGGCACCTTCATTGATAATAAATAACCGCTCATTCATTTCTGAGGCACAGAGTGAACAATTTAATAATGGTTATTAATCTGGCTAATCATCATATGGCCCATGATCATACTGATCACCACTGACTAACAATTCACTCGGTCTTCATTGTGCTAACATATTCCTCATTTTCATAAAGTAAAAATTAGGACTATATTGTCTTCTCTCTCCCTTTTAGTTTCTGTGTTGTTTTTTTGTTGGTTTGTTTTTTCTTGTGCTAATCTTCATTAGATCTCCCTACTTGATTTGTCTTCTGTGCAGAGTATGTAACTGTACACTGCATTTCTTCTACTGGGTCAGGTATGTTTAGTTACATAAGCAATGCCTAGGCCCTAAGAGATAAGGGTACTACTTACAGAAATATTAGCCATAATCCCTGGATTGACAATTTGGTCCTTATCTGCCTTCACAATTTTGATCTCCATACCAGTTTTGTAAAGTCATTTCTGTTCTTCCTCATGGTTATCTGCCCATCTTCCTATGCTGTTTTTGACTCGATCCAAGTTACATTCCTATACCAAATCACTCCCTTCACTAATAAAACATACACATCCCATTTTTACATTTTTTATCCATAAAACATAAGTAATTATTACTATAATTATATAATTAACGGTGCATTCAAAGCACAATAATAGCTGCTAGCTTATTATGGTGGCATAAAGCATCTGTGAGTGTTGCACAGCTGTTTTTTCTTAAAACATTTTCAAAAAGCTCTCCCCACTTTCCCCTGAACCCTTATTCTATTATTGATGCATCAAGTTTGACAGATCTGAGGTTAGTTCACATCCACACTAGCTGAGTGGCAGGTGAAAGGCTGGGCTTTAAGTGCAGAAGAGCCATGCTTTTTCCAAACTACTTGAAAATTATTTAACTAGGAAAAATTAGAGTGGGATAAATGAACTGGGGTGTTTATCATGCTACATACATACTGCATGTTTATATTTGTAAATACAGTTCCTAAAAAACTTTAAATTAAGAAAAAGAGAAAAAAAGAGAGAGAAGGCACTTCATTAACGTCAAGTGGGGACCTGTCCTCTGGAGTTAACAGAACTTTGATGAACATTAGGATCTTTTAGTAGACTTTTTTCATTATATAGGCCTTGATTCTGTTCTATTGGATGAAAATGGTTGATAAATATCGACTGGCCTATTTGATGAAAGAAAAACCCATATTAGTAAATGGGGGGTGTTAAATCAACTCCATACCCCCCACTCTCCATGCTTTGGAAGAACACATGTCCACTAAACTGTGAGCAGCTAATTTCCCACCTGAACTCACTGTGGTCATCATGGTCAGCAGATGACGCTATCATTGTAATATTTGTTTTAGCGATATTGTTGGATATTTGAATTTTTCCTTATACAACATATTTTGAGAATTTTTTTTTATTTATTTATAATGTACAATGATCTATACTTTTAATTAAAAAGTCTTCCCAAATGACAACAGGAATGACCTTAAGCAAGCTCACAAATACAGATGTTGTTGTAAAGTTATGATTTTTGTATAAATCATATATATTTGTACATGAACAAACATGTTCTTATGGTTTTATTTACACATTAATACATGCTAGCATGTTTAAATAAATATTTGTATTTCAATGTCTACCATGGAATAAATGTGAAAAATTAAATTATATATAGCAATAACAATGTAGCTCAAAAAAAGAGAGTTTTTATAGAGTCTATAATAAACAGAATATATTTTCAGAGATGGTATATAATGTAACTATAAAAAATAGGTCAAATCAACAGAGCCACCTGCATCGTTTCAAGAGGGCCCCTTCTCTTAGTTCACTGACTGCCTTCTTTCCTCTCCTGCACTACAGTACTGGGAACGTGTAATGTGAGATCACGTCACATTAAGGAGTATAGAAACAACCCACACTACTTACAATCTGATCCCCGCTTTACTCCAGGGAAGTGTATGACCACCGTTTTGTGTGTGCATGTTTGTCTGAGAGTGCCTGTGTATGTGTCTAGCAGTGAATATACTTGAGTTTGTCTCCTTATCTGTTTGACAGTGTATATGGTTGTGTGTGTATCCATAAGTGTGTCTGGAATGTTTTTTGTGTGTATGTGTCTGTGTGTTTGTCTGTAAGTGTGCATACTTGTTTGAAAGAGTGTGTCAAAGGAAGGGATCCAGGCAGTGGGTTTGTAAGGAGTCCCAATAGTTCTGAAGGAAGCCCAGAAAATCAATGAATTAACTAATGCATTAACATTATTATTTCAAAACGTATGCAATTAACAGATTGTGACCAGTGTAATTTTTTGAGCTGGGTGTGCCAATCTTGGTCTTTGGGAAATCTCTGCTTTATGGTACTGCGGGGTCTGAGCAGGTTTCCTAAAAATATTTATTATGTATCTGTTTATAAAAGTGAACCAGAGCACGAAGTCAAAGATAATATAATGAAGACTAAAGATAGTCATTTTGCAGTGCTGGATATTTCGGTAACTGAAACGGAAGCATAGTGATTCATATTTTTTGCACTAGGGAAACAGATCATATAGACCTAGAATAAAACAAATTTTCAACAGTCATGATCCCACCAGGGTTAGAGAATTTTATAAATACTGAATAATGAAGCAAGAAAATTAGTGTATAGTGCAATATGTCAGGTTTTGCTATTAACTCACTCACTCAAGGCTCTACTCTTCTGGTTCTAAATCAGTTGTCAGAACCACCTTACCAGTAACCTTTATTGAAATAGAATGACATGAGACAAAATAAAATATTATTTTGCCCCACTGCCTCTTGCAGCTTTGTACCAGTAATGATTAAAATTAATCTCATATAATTTCATTCATTAAACATTGGTGAGCATGTATACGAATTGTAGCAATCAAACATCTTCATTACACTGTAGGCATAATTAATTTGAAGTCTGTGATTGTTAATTAGAAGATATTTTCTAAATAGAACCAGACAAGACAAACATCATTCTAACACAGTGTGGCCAAGACAAGAAATAGCAATATCAATTCAAGACATTTTCTGCTCGCTATAACCATTAACCTTTAGAGTTTTACTCCTAGATTGTTTTATAGCATGTGTGACTTGAAAAAGTGCTGTATATTTCATAAAACGCATTATTTAACTATAATCTAAAGCAGTATTTAATTATAATTTAAAGCAACAATGTTCTCAACCACAATTCTCTCTGCACAACTTAAAGAAAATTGTGTTATGTAGGACGCACTTGCAGACCAATTGTGGGTTTTGTCACCTGGTTAGTCATTATAACTTTGCTTGTCCCAGCTTTCCTCTTATACTCAGCAGGGGGGACTGTAATAAAGGTATTAGAATACATAGGTTTTCTTCTGTATTTTCTGTTAACATAGAAAGGGGTCAAACATTGAAATAGCTTTTATTCCACCCTTGTGTGAAACTGCCTATTTATCATAAAATAAACTAAAATTGATTTTTCCTGAAATTGGCAGGTAGCTGTAAATGGACACTTTAGCACACATTGTTTAACAAGCTTATTAAGAACCAAGAGAATATAAGATGGCCACCATTCATTAGATCTCTGCTATGAATGGAGTGAAAATTCCTTCAAAATCCATTCTAATTCGCAAGAATTCATGCAAAATAGCTACCTGCTACCTGAAGAACCATGCCTATGCACAAGAGAACCATTGAACAAACGAAACAGATGAATTTTGTGGAGAAAACGAATTTGCTGCGAACGTCCAAAATGGCGCCTGAAGGTACGCCAAAACAGCAAACAGCCGCGGCATTAACAGACTTAAAATACCAAAACAGATGTATAATTCGAGTCAAAGAGAGAACAAGGTCTTATATAGAGCCAAATAACCATTTCGGGGCTTTGCATGATAATCATACTGACGGGACTCCAATCTCGCGGACATCCAAGATGGCTCCTGAAAGTTCTAAACAGCCACGAACAGCTGTGGCATTGATAGAATAAAAAAATTAAACAGTCACTTCACTGAAATCAAAGTCCCGAGCGCGGGACCTTGGGAGGTCTCCCATGGAGTCAATTAATCAATTTGTGGCTCCACACGAAGAGAACATCGCCGAAATTATAAACACACAAACATCCAAGATGGCGCCTGGCAGTTTGCAAACTGCACGAATGCACGCAGTAATCACAGATACTAAATACCAAACAAACACTTTATTGGAAGTAAAGTCCCGAACGGAGGATCCAGAGAGGTCTCCCACATCATTGATTAAGCCTTTTAAGACTACACATAATGTCACTAACAACGAAACTCCGATAGTGGCCGAGGGTCTGGATAAACATCTTTCACACAGACTAATGACAGTAATTAACTATATTAAAGAATGGAGGTATAAGATGCACACTGATTCTGGGAGGTCTAATACACCAGCGATCCCGACTACCCAGGTGCCATGGATGGGATTCTCAACATACTTCTGAGAAAAAAACTACCGAATATATAGAACCCCCGAACACCAAACTCACGATTGACTCAACAACATGAAATGCAGATAATGAGCCTGGGAACTGTTTAAACCAAAGAAACATTGATTTGTAATATATCTATCATCTCGAACACCCAAGGAGGGCAAAGACAGGTCATACTTAATGAAGACTTGACGCAAAGAGTGACATCATATGGGGAAATAGGGGTATTGCAAGCAACACAAAATAATTGTCAAAAATTTGAGAAAGATTTCAGCTGAAAAAGTCTTAGTTGGAAAGGATATCTTCTCACAGCCTTGGCTGAAACAACTATACTTTTCCCTAAAAAACTCTTTACATGCGGATCTGATGCTGGAATTAGATTCTACAAAGAAGAAAGTTGATCTCTAGGAATTTAGAGTATTACAATTGCAAAAAAATGAGACAATAATTGGAAGAGAGAAATCATTTGAGGCACACGGTTAAAACATTCAGTCCACGTATGCAAGCACTCACTGATAAAAATGCAGATCTGGAAGATCGCAGCAGATTGAAGAACATCTGCATTGGAGGAATTCCAGAGGATCTTTAATCTAAAGTGCTTCCTGATCACATTTCTATCTCTGGTTAAAGAACTTTTACCATCAACCTCAAAACTGGAATTATCTTTGAAAGACGTCATAGATTACAGAAACCAGAATCAGTTTCTTCAACAGCACCCAGGGATACTCTTGTGAGATATAACTTCGCTCATATAAAAAACAAGTTCCTGTCTTAACTCAGACAAAAAGTGGATTTACCCGATGCTATCAGAAATCTTCAAGACCTGTTACTTGCTACCCTGGTCAAGAAAAATACATTTTCACCAAATTACGGCAGTATTAAGCTCCAGAAATGTGAGATTTAGATGGGGCCTTCCTGCTTCACTACTTGTTAGACATGGAGGAAAAAATATTGTATTATCTACCCCGGGAAGAAGGTCCCACGTTTGTGAAAAAACTGACTGTCTGAGATGTACTAAAGTCATAGCCGCAAGACAATAGAAGAAAGAATGCTTTAGCCAATTAACATAATCCTGTTACTCTATTAAATATTATTGTTTGACATTACTAGATACTCTTCATTAAATAATTTGATGTTGATTATTTTTGTAAATCCCTGTCAAAATTTATCTTCTTGTTCTTGAAAGTTCTCTTAAATTGTTTAATAATAAAATGTAACTTTAATTAATTTTTTTGGTATTTCATTATTTTTATGTATGTTTTAGTTTTCTTTCCGATCATATTCACATATTTTTATACATATGCTCCCCAACCTTCAGGCCTGTAAAATTTTAGGATGAAGGGACGTTAAAATTTTTTAGGATTTTGTCCCTTTAGGAATATCTAATTATTTTTGTAATCACTTATTGTTCTTTATTCTTTTTTGTTTTATTTTGTTTTTTACCCATTAATGTCCTTTCCCTTTTCCCCTTGTTACACTCATGTGCAAAAAAGCAAAACATTTTCACAAAAAAAATATTTGAAAAGAATATAATGCTGGTTTCTCTAAAGAAGTAACATTTATTTTCCTTCCCCCCCACACCCCCCAACATTTTATGGAGTTTAAACAGAATAAATTAGAGTACTGGGTGCCAGGGTGAAATATCCGAGCACCACATATAGACATTGTCAAATGTTAAAAGACATTTAAAGATAAACAATAAAACTAACAGTAATCAAAAAAAAAACTCATTTAAGACTTTGTTAATACACGCGTTCCATGAGGACATTTTAGCCAAGCGACCAGTGATAGCCAGAAAGCATCAGGTAATGTTATCAGCCTATCACTGCTCTCGGTCTAAGACTGACTTTCCGTTCATGCTCACATTGACGAGTGGGAGTGTTCTGTTTACTAGTGCTTTAAAAATTGGCATTTACTCATTGTGGAATATCTTATAAATTAGGCACCAAATTTTGCTCTTTTTTAGAACTCATGTAGTATAATATATGTTTAAAATTATTTTTCATATATTTTGTCTTATTAAGTATTTGCTTACCTTTCAGACATGGGCACGCTGGCCTCCACAGTCACACTCCACCTCTTTGACATCATCAATTTAGAAGCTCAGCCTCAGCTAAACTAATTTTTCCACATGGAAAAATATTGGGAGGCTAGTGCACAAAACAAACTGACTGTGTCAGTCTATGAGACCATCTGATTAAATAACTCAGCTATTGAGGTGGATGCGCCCCTAAGGGGTGTCAGGAAGACAGGCACTAGAGATATGTTAACCCTTTAATGCAAACATTGCTGTTCCACCAGAATAGTAATATTTTCAGTTGCATGGTTAAACTGACAGGGACATGGCACACAGACCCCTTGATTGAGATGAAGTGATCTATGTTCCTATAAAGTCTCTTAAATTTTATTTAAAAAGTGAGTGTATGGCACTTTTTAAGACTCCTATAGCTAATTCCTGCCATTTATGTTCACGTTTGAACCTTTTTAAACTCTAGACTAGCATGAGTTCCGCTAAGCTTATCATGGGTTATATTGTTTTAACCCAAATTTGTGAGTTACACTCTACAGCATTTTAACTCAGTGAAGAAATTCTAGTCTCGAGAAAAAGGATGAGCTAGCAATTGAGGAAAATTAGTCTGTCTCCATCTAAGCATTAAGACAAAAGGAAATTGTAACTTGGCTGCAGCGAGTTCCTATAAGGATATTGGTATGTGGTTAAATCCTAACCAATCATTTGACCTTCATAATGATCAACTGTAATCCAAATTTTATCCCAAACTAGGAACTCTGATCAGAAACAAATCCTTTTTAAATCCCCGTATACAAAAAATGGCTGCACAATGAATGTTAATGGCAATAAGTAATGGCAGAGACATAGAATACACATCCACAGTGCAAATCTATCTCAGTAGGCTCAGTTCTCTATATAATTTCTGATGCTTCTCTGTTCTCAGATATAATTATTATTATCATTGAAACCTGTTAAAAAGCCTAAATAAAGGCCTGGATAATGCACAAACGTTATGGCACAACATCTGAACACTACTCTTATAGCTGCTATATGTACCTCCTACAACTTCCAATTTCCTGACGATATTTTATATATGCTTTTCCACTCGTCAAAAATTATAACTTTCTTGAAAACCATTAAATCTTCTTGCAGTAAAAAAAATCTGTCTCGTAATCTTTTAATTGGCATGATGTTTGTTAACTCTCTTGAAAATGCTTTGATAAGAAGTGTAACATTGTATTGTACTGAAGTGTATATTCTCTTCAGGGCATATGTGAATTCTAGAGAAATTGTAATGTATTCTTCGGTACATAACACTTTGCGAATAAAATGAAAATGCGTTAAAACTATGTATTAATCAAAACTTACAATGTTTCAAACTAAGCCAAAATAACCCACTCGACAATGTGAATCTATTGCATTTTTTTTTCTCCCGGTCCAAAGTTGCCCTCATAGTGCATGAATCTTAAACTGCATCCATTTCATCCTAATTCCCCCCTTCAATGTATCAAACTTATATATAATATATAACACCAGTAGAGTAAAAGGAGGTGAAGAGAGAACAATTACCATCTGATATGCCTGTTACTGTAGAAACCTCGAGATTCCTCCCAATCTTCTATATCTACAAAACACAGCATAAAGGAATCTACAGATAAAAAAAAAATGCACACAAAGTAACACTGTATCTGCAATGGGTGAACGTGTCTTCAAATTGCACGCATAAGATGTTGAGAAATAACAGGCATATCTCCCAATGAGGGGTAATCAACATCAGATCCTCGTGTTTTCATTTTTAAATGCACTTAAATATGGAGAGAGAAACACAGCATGGTGTTCACCTCTTTAAAACATAATACCTTTACTCAGAACTGCACTTACAAAATGTGTATTCTCAACCAACATATCTCAATACAAATTCTCACAATCCTCTGTGTTAGTTCCAAGAATCAATATCAGGATATAGCCAGAAGCAAGATAAAATTAAAATAATAGAATAGAAAAAAATACAATAACACCATAAGCACAACGTGTGCAAACGCGTTTCGTCTACTTGCAACAACTTCTTCAAAAGGCTTGGAATGATCTTCCTTCAAATGTCACATCCGTATAAAGCACTTCTTGCCAATAATAAAACATTTAACCATTTGGGGGAAGTTCCAAAAATCTGTCTCCACTCTTCTGTAAACCAAGCGTTTCAAGCCTCACTTACATTTGCCGTGATAACACGTGTATACGATGTGTGATGCATTTGCATTCAATGGACCCAGAAGAAACAGAGGCTTTCTTCATGTTCTGATGGGTATTAAAGTGGCCAAAGCTCATGTAGTGAGCGGTGTGTGTAGACTATTACTCATAAAGGATATTAACTCAGGATAAACCACATATTCCATAAGGAAAAAAAAAACAACGGGGAAAACATACAAAGGGAAAAAAGGAAGGAGATATCAGATACATGGAGAAATTATGATGCATAGAAAAAAAATACTTAAAAATAAATAATGAATGAAAAACTGGATAAATA